ATGGTTATATTTTAGGATTTGGGGAACAAGCTTATGTTCTTTTAATTTAGACTGTTGTTCTTTGTCAACTCTATTTGTAATCTCTCTTAGTCTTTTCACTCTCAATAAGTCCAGTTTTTATTCTATAGTAATAAAACTTCTCCATTCCACTTTCTCCCTCTGGTATGTTTTACATTAGATTAGTTCCCATTTCTAAACCTTTCCTAGTCTATAATACTCTTCTTGTGTGATACAACCAGAACTACATGTTGGATTACACTTATGGCATATCACTATTTAATATATAAATAGAATATTCTAAATTTCTAACATTTGTCAAACTGTTCAGTTGTTAAGCACACATATATTTTGGTGGGAAAACAAAATGCTACAGCTATCTTTGGAAAAAGAGTTTCTTACAAAATTAAACTCGTGAATCTATAAAACATTAAAGAAATGATAAAATAAGATATAAATAAAGGGAATGGAATACCATGTTCATGGACTGGAAGACTCTGTGTTTTCGAAATGACCATTTTCCTTAAATTGATATATAGATTCAATGCAATAATAATCTAATACTTAGTAGAATTTTTTTTTTTTTTAGAAATTGACATTTTAAATTTAAAATTTATATGCAAAGGTGAATGGTAGCCAAAGTATCTTTCAAGGAGAAGAATAAAGTTAGAAGATTCACACTATTTTTGTTTACTGTCATAAGGAAGGAAAGTAGAGACATATAGATAAGTGGAATGGGTAGAGAATCTAGTAATAGACTCATGCATGTATGGTCAATCCATGCATGGATTTTAGGAAAATAATCATTTGCTTATATGTTTTATTTATATACATTCATATCTAACTCTTTTAGTAACCCTTTGAGAAAGGTGTTATTTTCCCATTTTACAGATGAGAATAGTGAGGATTAAAAGACTAAGTGATGGGTCCAACATTATGCAACCAATAGGTGGAGAGATCAAAATTCAAACATAGGTCATCTGACTTCTACTCCCAGGGTCCCTTTACTACACCATCTATGCTACTTCCATCTAGGACTGCGATACTGCCCCAGTCCTCTATGTCATCTCCTGTTTCTCTTTCATTTCCTCCCCTTTGTCCTTCTGTCACTCCCTTTTACAACTTTAGTTTCTTCTTTTCATTCACTGATAGTTGCCATTCTCCTATAATTTGTGTACTGAGCTCTTTTTGCCAGGATAGTACTTTGTTTTTCAGATATCGAAAAACATTGCTGTTTGAGGCATCCAGTTTGCCTCAGAATGTTCTTTGTGTGGTGATATGGGTCTTCATTTGCTTTTATGGTCCAATTTATTCAGAATTAAGTTGTCATAAGAGTAAGCTCTGAAGAGAAGGACCCTATATACCAAATATCAAACATCTGTGCTCTAACTACTGATTGCCGCTTCTAGTCGCAGAGGGGCAGATGAAGTGGGAGCACCCATTGTTGATGCACGTCCCCCATTATTGCAGTCCCCTCCCTCTTTGGCTAAAGTGATTTCCCCAGGATTTACGTGGCCAGTGGTTTTATCTTCCCCTTCATTTTTCCATTTGTTTTCTTTTAGAAGCCAGACATTAAAGATTAGGACATTCAGAAACAAATACATATATGGGTTAAATTTGAAAGTGACCACATATGCCCAGGGAAAGGCTAAGGCTCAGGCTCAGAATAGAACTAAGAATACCTTAAGTGTAAACCTCAGGTTGTTCCTTGACACAGAGAGAGCCTATGAAAAATAAAATAAGAAAAATATAACAAATGAAAACAAAACAGTAGAATATAGGGACAGGGGAGAATGTTATTTATCAAATTACCACATTATTAGATTGAAATACCCATTTTTCACCAAAGAAGTCATAGACATACAAAGAAACAATAAAGTATGGTCCATTCAAAGGGAAAAGAAATAAGTCAACAGAAACTCTGAAAAAGACCTAATGACAGATCTTGTAGGCAAAGACTAAAACAGTTGTCTTAAAAGTACTCAAAGAACTAAATGAAGATGTGGAGAAAGTTAAATAAATAAGTAAATAAATAAATAAACAAACTTGATGTCTAAACAAAATGGAAATAATAATGAGATAGAAAACAAATCAAAACTATAATTCTGGAGCTAAAAAGTACAATAATTGACGTGAAAAAGTCACTAGAAGAAATCAAAGGTAGATTTGAGCAGATAGAAGTAAGAATCAGAGAGCTTGAAGATAGGACAATGGAAATTTTTCCACCTGTGGGACAGAAAGAAAATAAAAGATTAATGGTTGCTTAGGGCTGTAAAGGCAGGACAGCATTTAAGAGAGTGATAGCTAAAGGATACAGATAGGAGTTCCTTTTTTTAATTGGGATATAATTGACATACAACATATTTTAGGAGTATAACATAATGATTTGACATATGTATATGTTGTGAAATGATACCACAATAAGTTTAGTTAACATCCATCACCACACATAGTTACAATATTTTTCTTGTAATAAGAACATCTAAGAATTATTCTCTTTGCAACTTTCAAATATATAATATTGTTAACTGTAGTCCCTGTGCCACACATTACATCCCCGGACTTGTCTTATAACTGTAAGCTTTGTGTCTTTGACCACCTTCACCCATTTCACCCCCCGCCCAAGGTGTTCCTTCTGGAAATGAGGAAAACATTTTAGTATTTACCATGGTGATGGTTACACTATCTGTGAATATATTAGAAACCACTGAAGTGTAAATGGGTGAATTATATGGCATTATGCATTATATCTTAATAAAGCTGTTAAATAAGAGATTAGGATTTTTTTAAATGTATGCAATAACCATCAAGTTTAATGGCAAGAGACCAGGTGTTTACAGGTGGCACCTCTTCCAGTGCTCCCCCTTCTCATTTCCCTTTTGCAATCCAAAGCTAATGGTGAGGGTTCAGTAGCATGTGGTACTGCCAGCACTCTTTAGAGTCATTCCCACCTCCAGTGATCTAACTCAAGCTAAAAAAGAAGGCGGTGGAGTGGGAGAAGGGATTTCTCTAAACCATGGCTCATACCAAGCATAGCCTTTCAATCAACCCAGTGTTAAACAGCAAAAGCTTCTCCTGTACACTGTCTCCTGGAGGGGTGAAGAAGCCTCATTGTTACAGGCCTGGAGCTAGCATGGGAAATTAGATTGCTCTAACTTCAAAACAGACCTTTGTTTCTGGAGCACAGCTACTGGTGCTCTGCAGGAGAAAATGGCCTATGGTGGGGATATCTGTGTGCTGTCTGTGACAGTGTGGAACAGTTGTGCCATTAAGACCTTTGACATACATGTTGTACACCTGCAGAATGTGTCACGTAGATGGACAGCATGCTTAAGAACCCGTTTTAGCTCTGGCTGGGTGATTGAGTTGGTTGGAGCATCATCCCATATACCAAGGGGTTGCATGTTGGATCCCCAGTTAGGTCACATAACTAGGTTACAGGTTTCATCTCTAGTTGAGGTGCATATGGGAGGCAATTGATCAATGTTTTCTCTCTCTCATTGATGTCTCTCTTTCTCTCCTTTCTTCTCAATCTAAATATCAGTAAACATATTCTCGAGTGAGGATTTTTTAAAAAGAATCCATTTTAATGGCAAACATTTCATTCTCAATCACCCTCCCCTCCACAAAACCCAGTCTCTTCCCCATCATTGGTAGTTCTGAACATTAGGGTTTTCTTTTTACCATGAGGTCAAAATGTACCTTAAGTATATGATTGTAAACAGTAAAACAGGAGACAGAATTGGGTATTAGCAAATATTTTTCATTTTCATTAGTGTTTGAATTTTTAATATAAACATAGGACTATAAAGCATTAAAGAATTTGTTTCTTTTTAAACAAACTAATGTACATTTCTTATTGATGAAAACTGAATAATGTCTGTCATTTTACCATACTCTAGTTCCATTCATTCACTGTACTTTTCTAATAGATTCTACATGCAAGTTACATGTTTGTAATGTTGTCTGTACTGTTCCTATATGTTTGCTATCAAAATATATGTAATTTTTAAACTTGCTAACATAAAAATGTTAATAAGTTTTAACTTTCTCAAATTGACACCTCTTTGTGCTACAATACCATCAAAATCCCATTAAAATGGTAGTTATTTTCTTATTAACGTTAATAATGATAATATAGCCTAACAAGAATTTTTCCTTTGTTAAATAATTCTCTAACAGCTAATTTTCAGTAGAATGCACCATTTGAAGATGGTTGGGAATTTGGGGGGGAAGTGTTTAGGTTGTCACAATGATGGGGGATGGTTTTTGGCCACCTGTCCTGTTTGGTAGGTCCACTAAACCTAAAGGTTTAAATCTCAGCCCCTGTATTAACACCTGCCACAGCACTGGTCCTTCCAATGAACTCATCATCTTCTCGATGTGTAGAGGACAAATTACCTTTTGCAAGCATTTTAAGTTGTAGCTTCCTTTTTACCAAATCAGCAACCACTTGTCTGTCTGCATTAACTTCTAAATGTTTTATCCTCTGCTGTTTCCTATCCCACTCTCTTTCATGATGGGTTTGTGGTTGTTTGGGGGAAGGGTTTGTTTTTGTTTTTTTTATTTTCCTTTGCTATTAGCGTGAGATAATATCTTCTTCTGGAGGGTATGGAAATGAATTAGGAGGTTTATTTGGTTGTTGACCAGCTGGTGTACTGGCAGTTAGTAGTGCCCAGCTAGGACTAGATCTGCTAAACATGCTGCCTGCCATGTGTGAGCCCACTCACAATGTCCATGGTTGTCAGTTACCATTCATTCCAGCCTTGCCTGAACTCAGTGTAAACAGTGTGTTTAGACACTAATATTTTTGTTAGCTGAGAGTTATGTATAATCTTATTCATTACTCTATCTCAAGCCGAGCTTTTTGAAACTATTTTGCATTCAAAAATAACAGTTAAAGCAGTGTCATAGCTTGTTATTAAGAGGAAGAGCGCATTGAATACATTGTTTCCTTACTCCAGCATTCAGCTTTGCTACATGTTTATTCTTCATATTAACAGATATTTTGGTAAAAGGCCTCAGTGGGATTGTAGAGGAGCGTCAAATCTTAATGAACTTCATCAGTTATTAAGTGACATAATGATTAGAAGGCTAAAGGATGAAGTTTTAACCCAGCTGCCCCCTAAAATCAGACAGCGAATTCCTTTTGATCTTCCATCAGCAGCAGCCAAGGTGAGAACCCTTGTTTGATTGAAAGTCTTATTTTAAATAATGTTAAATTATACTAAGAAAGATTGCGTGTATTTCATATTTTACAGAAGGAAAAGTCTGCTTTCTTAATATTGTTTTAATTAATAGAGCATGTGAATTGGCTTTGTATTATTTTGAGTAGCGAGCAGGAAGAATTTAACTTTAGTCATTAAATAATATGAAAAGATTTGGTACCCTAGTGATTAAAATAGATTTCTGCTGAGTATAGAAAGAAAATTACTTCAGTTACAACAAAGGTTTAGTGTTAAGAATTCTATGTATCTGTGGAGTGTGAAGCAAGGGAAGTTGGGTTTCTTCCTTTAGGATTTTTAAAAATATATAAATAGCTGTCTTCTAGAATAACTTAGATACAGCCCTGTTCTTAAAATCTTAAAACTCTGTGATCGTGTAAAATTTGAAGTTAAACATATCAGAAAACCAAATTACATTTTGGGTAGTGCAATGCTTCTATATTCTCTGAAATTTCTTCAAGTCTGTACGTAACTTTGTTAGTAACGACTATTTATTGCATTGTTTTATTTTGAAATTTTAGGGTAAGCATTCCATAAACATTGAGCACAGTTATTGGAAAAATAATGATCCAGTTTTCTTTATCCACTATTTTAGCATGAGAAAGAAAAATAATAGATAATATGTTTATATTATATTTTTATTTTACTAATATGCTGCCAGTCTTTACACTTATTTAAATAAAATCATATTTATCAAAATACTTTGCTATTGTACACATTTTCACTACCCTGCTTTCTTATGGACTTAAATTTTTATACTTACTTTACAAAATGTTTCCCCTTAAGAGGAAGCTACAATTTTTTATGATGTTAGCAAATGATTTGGTTTTCATCCACAGCTTATCATTAGTTTCTATCATTGGTGTGAACATGTGACTGATCTGCCTTAATGTTGATGTTTTTCAATGAAATGAACATATTGGCATCTTTAGGGATTTTCTTTTTATATCTTATCCATCGCCATAACTACTCAGCCACGACTACAGGTCTTTTTATATCTTTATATATAAGGATTAAGGTAGGACACGATTCATTACTGCATTAATTGTTCTGTTTTTGTGCTGCATTTCTGAACATTGTTATTTTCTCCCACATAGGAATTGAATAGCAGCTTTGAAGAATGGGAAAAATTAATGAAAGCTTCAAATTCAGTTGCCTCTGAGACTATTATGGGGTTGATCACTCGCATGTTTAAACAAACTGCTATTGCCAAGGTACTCATTGCTGGGCCATTGTGTGTTTGTCTTGATACAAATTATTTAACATATTTTAATGTTTTTATAAAAGCAGCTTATTTGCATATTATAACATGTCTTTTAACTCTTTATAATTAAAAAATTTAGGTATATTCAGAATAAACAAAATAGTATACTGGACACTCTCGTACCCATTCACATATTGATCCTTTCCAGTGTAAGAATACAATTTGATAGTGTGTTATACTTTAAAGGACATATATATTCATCTTTATTATTAACTTTTTCTATGGATTTATTACATAACTGCTACACATAATCTTTTTTGGTTATTGATTTTTTTAAAGGAATAATCTTGTAGGACTGCATCGTGAAACTATGTGGTTTGTGCTAACTCTTGGAGTTAGTGCCAGAGTTGAATTGAATTTTTGGACACCTTTTTGTTTAAGAGAATTAGAGAACTGGTGTAGAAAAATGGCATTGAACTGGTATTAGAAAACACCATGCATAATATCTGCTCTTGTCAATGTATAATTCAATATGGGGCTCAGCATCTCTTGATATTTGGCAGAAAGAACATTCTTCCACCAAAGCATCAGTGAGTCAAATTATGCTGAAGGTTTTAGAGGAGATGTTGATTTTTTTGTTGTTTTTTCATTTTTTAATATATTTTATTGATTGTGGTATTACAGTTGTCCCATTTTCCCCCTTCATTCCCTTCCACCCTGCACACCCCCACCCACCCACATTCCCCACCTTTAGTTCATATCCATGGGTCCTACATATAAGTTCTTTGGCTTCTCTCTTTCCCATACTATTCTTGCCCTCCCCCTGTCTATTTTCTACCTACCATCTGTGCTACTTATTCTCTGTACCTTTTCCCGCTCTCTCCCCCTTCTAATCCCCTGTTCATAACCCTCCATATGATCTCCATTTCTGTAGCTCTGTTCCTGTTCTAGATGTTTGCTTAGTTTGTTTTTGTTTTTCTTTTAGGTGTGATTGTTAATAATTGTAAGTTTGCTGTCATTTTACTGTACATGTTTTTTATCTTCTTTTTCCTAGATAAGTCCCTTTAACATTTCATATAATAAGGGCTTGATGATGATGAACTCCTTTAACTTGACTTCATCTGGGAAGCACTTTATATCTGCCCTCTCATTCTAAATAGAAATTTTGCTGGATAGAGCAATCTTGGATATAGGTTCTTGCCTATAAGGTCTCTTTTGAGAAATCAGCTGACAGTCTGATGGGCACTTCTTTGTAGGTAATTGCCTCCTTTTATCCTGCTGCTTTTAAGATTCTCTCCTTAACTTTAATCTTGAGTAATATAATTACGATGTGCCTTGGTGTGTTCCTCCTTGGGTCCAACTTCTTTGGGACTGTCTGAGCTTCCTGGACTTCCTGGAAGTCTATTTCCTTTGTCAGATTGGGGAAGTTCTTCTTTATTATTTGTTCAAGTATCTTATCCAGTTGTTGCTCTTCTTCTTTTCCTTCTGGTATCCCTATAATTTATCTGTTGAAATGTTTGAAGATGTCCTGGAGGTTCCTAAGCCTCTCCTTACTTTTCTGAATTCTTGTTTCTTCCTTCTTTTTTGATTGGATGTTTCTTTCTTTCTTCCGGTCCACACCATTGATTTGAGTCCCAGTTTCTTTCTTATCACTGTTGGTTCCCTGTATATTTTCCTTTATTTCACTTAGTGTAGCCTTTATATTTTCATCTAATTTGTGACCAGATTCAACCAGTTCTGTGAGCATCCTTATTACCAGTGTTTTGAACTGTGCATCTGATAGGTTGTCTGCCTCTTTGTCACTTAGTTGTATTTGTTGTGGAGCTTTGATCTGTTCTTTGGGCCATTTTTTTTATCTTGATGTGCTTGTTACGTAGTGATGGGTGGTGCTTTAGGTGTTCATTTGGGCAGGGTAACCCATGGTGCTGCCTTGTGATGCTGTATAAGGGGGCAGGGCCCAAGAGGGAACAATGGCACTTGCTCTGCTCTCTGCCAGATTTCAGTCAATTCCCCTGCTTCCCACAAGCAAATTGGGCCCTTCTGGTGCTGAGTCACATGTTGGTGGGTTTGTGTACATTCTAGGACCCTGTGGGTCTCTCCAATGAACTTTCCTATGAGGTTGGGAATTTCTCCAGCTGCCACCTAAACCCCCCACAGGTGTTTTCAATCAGTGGTTTGAGACTTTATTTCCCCATGCTGGGTCCCTGGGTCATGGGGTCTGTCCTGCTACCCAGTTTTGCCTGTTTTATCTGCGAGTGAATGCAGGACTGCCCAGTCTATCAGCCACCTTGCATCCTGCCCCCTGCTCCACAGTCCGCTGCCTTGCTGGGTCTGCCAGCCAGGGTTTTGCATGAGCCCTCTCTGCCCCAGCTGCCTGACTCTGTCCCTCCTACTGGTCTGGATGGATGTGTCGTATTTAACTCCTTGGTTGTCAGACTTCCATACAGTTTGATTTTCTGTCAGTTCTGGTTTTTTGTTTTTAAATTGTTGTCCTTCCTTCGGTTGTACAATGAGGCACAGTGTATCTACCGCATCTCCATATTGGCCAGAATTCGGAAGTTGATTATTTTTAATTGTTATTATGTTTTTAGTTTTCTGCAGATAGATGTGCCCATTTGTTTGTCTGAAAACTGTTAGAGTTTTTCAATTTCAGTATGCCTATCAAGTAGACTTATCACACGTTGCTTTCACTAGCACTGTAGTACTTCAACATCCTAATGAGTATTATGTCTCTCCAGTTCTGAAATATTTTTAACATAATTTTTAAATGAGGTTTATTGCGGTATAATTTACATACAGTGAAATTTGTTCTTTTAAAATGTATAGTTTGATGAGGCTTAACAAATATAGTCTGGTAAACAGCACTATAGTAATGCTAAAGAATATTTTCTTTACTCTAAAAAAGTTTTCTTATGCACCTTTGCAGTCATTTCCTTTGCACTCACCCTTTAAGACCTTGGCAGTCACACATCTTCTATCGCTACAGGTTTGCATTTCCCAGAAGGTCTCAAAAATGGAATCAATATTTAACCTTATTTCTGGCTTCTTTCATTTAATGGAAAGCTTTTGAATATTGATCCATGTTTTTGCATGTCATTAGTTTTTGTACTTATATTGCCAAATAATATTCCAATGTATGATTATAAAATTTTTGTAATTCCTTTACCAATTAATGACCATTGGGAGTATTTTCAGATTGGGCTGTTATGAGTAAGCCCAATATAATCATTCATGTACAGGTCTTTGTATGGATATTGTTTATTTTCCTTGAGTAAATAACTAGAAATGGGACTGCTGGGTCATATGAAAAATGTAAGTTTATCTTTATAAAACTGCAAAATTGTTTTCCAATGGGCTATATCATTTTGCATTTCTATAGGCAAATATATGAGATTTCCAGTTCCAACATTTTTGTCAGCACTTGTTATTATCAATCTTTTTAGTTTTAGCTATTCTAGGATGTAGTGGTATTGCATTATTATTTTCATTTGTTTTTTTCTTAATGACTGATGTCATTGTACATATTTTCATGTGCTTTTTAACCACTCATTTTCTTTTGAAAAGTATCTATTCTTATCAAGCCCACATTTCTTGCCATTCCCTTCTAGCTTATAATGTTTCTCTTGAGAAGTCAGCTGCTAACTTTATGAGGGCTCTCTTATATGTTACTTTCATTTTCTCCCTTGCTGCCTTTAAGATTCTTTCTTTGTCTTTGAATTTTGCCTTTTTAATTATGATATGTCTTGGGGTGAGCCTCTTTGAGTTCCTCTTGATTGGTACCCTCTGTGTTTCCTGGATTTGTGTGACTTTTTCTCTCATAAAATTAGGGAAGTTTTCCATCATTAATTTTTCAAACAAACAAAAAAAATTTTTTTCAAACAGATTTCCTATCTTTTGCTTCTCTTCTTCTCCTTATGGTATCCCTATTATACGGATATTACTATGTTTCATGTTGTTCTGCAATTTCCTTAACCCATCTTTGTTCTTTTTGAGTCTTTTTTCCTTTTCTTGCTCTTTCTGGGTGTTTCTTTTTCTACCTTGTCCTCCAGCTTGCTGATTCAGTTCTCTGCTTCATTAAGCCTGGTTTTGATTTTTTTCTACTGTCTTCAATTCAGTAGTTGTATTCTTCACTTCCTCTTGGCTCTTCTTGATAGTTTCTATGTCATTTTTCACACTGATGTAATTCGCAGTAAGTTCCTCGTAGTTTCCCTGTAGTTTTCTGTAGTTCCCTGTAGTTCTCACTGAGCTCATTGAGCTTTCTTATAACCATTGTTTTGAACTTAGTATCTGATAGTTGACATGCCTCTATTCCATTTAGCACTCTTTCTGAGGATTCTTCTTTTCCTTCTGGTTGGGGATGTTTCTCTGTCATCCCATTATTTGTAAAACTCTTCTTGTTTGCTTCTGCTTCTTAAATTGATGTGTTTTGAATCCCTGACTCAGTGGTGTGAACTTTTATGGTAGGAGACCTGTGAGATTCAGTGGTTTGGTCTTCTTGATCTCCTGAACTTGATGCTCTTGGGATTATATTTGTGCTGTTTATGTTGGCTTTCTGGATGTAATTTGGTTTTGATTGTTGTTGGGTTGTTCTTTGGTGGGTCCTCTCCTCCAGCTGGTTTACTGAGGATCACTCCACCCACCACGTGTTGTAAACTCTTGTGCAGGTGCACTGTTTTTTCTTTCTGGATCCACCTCTGGTCATGTTAAATGTTAACCCCATCTGATTTTAGGCAGCCTGTTCGAGACTTGTAGCAATCTACTTTTTATGGCTGTCCCCTTCAGTTATTAATCTAGTCAATCTAAGCCATCACTCAGCAGGCAGCCTTAAGTACCATAGGATGGGGTAGAATCTCTCGTGGTCTTGGGGCTTTTGTTTCCCCTCAGGCTGCTACTGCTGAGCAGGGTGGCTGTTGCCATATGAGAGATGACTCAGCACTGGGATCCCAATGTCTACTCTGTTTTCTCCCCAAAGCCTCTGTTCCCAGTCTCTGCTCAGGCATCTCTAACCTA